GTAAAGGAATGGGATACGGGATGGGAACTGGGATAGGAACCGGGACACGGGAAACGGGAACGAAATACGGACCCGGAACGGGAACCGGGACACGGACCGGGAACGGGATACGGACCCGGAACGGGAACCGGGACACGGACCGGGAACGGGATACAGACCGGGAACGGGATACAGGATATGGACATGGACCGGGAACGGGATACGGACCGGGAACGGGATACAGAATATGGACACGGACCGGGATACGGATGTGCACTGGGAATGGGAACCGGGACATGGGACGGGGATACGAACTGGAAACGGGAAATGGAGCAGGAACGGGAACTAGGACCGAGGAAACGGTCCAGGAACGGGATATGGGAGCAGGATACGGACTGGGAACGGGATACGGACTGGGAATAGGAATCGGGACAAAGAATACGGGAACGGGTTACAGGATGCGGGATGTGGAGACGGACCGGGAACGGGACACAGGACGGGGAGCGGGACTAGGGACACGGAACGGGAACCAGATACAGGATACGGACACGGACCTGGATACGGGACACAAACACGGACCAGCACCAGGACAGGGACCTGGACACGGACTAGACACCGACCTGGAGCTGGGACTTGGATCCAGGAACCGGACCCGGGACCCTTCTCCCTTCCTGTGCCATTGCACAGTTTCAAACCAGGATCGTTTCCCCGTTCCCAGCGCTGCCCCCGGAGCCCAACAGCATCCTACGGCAGGGAAGGAATGGGAACAGGAGCACCTGCTGCAAGGACTGGGGGGGAAAACCCCTCGGGATGTGTCCCTGGCACCGACAGCTCAGCTCCCACGGGAGCAGGAGGATGGGAGCAGACAGGAGATCAGGGAGGGAAAAGGGGAGCAGGGAGGGAAGAGACGAGCAGGAAATGGGTTTGTCACTATCAGCCACTCAAAAATTACAACATGTGCTCAAAAGTGAGTTCAGTTCTGCTTCTTTGCCACCTTCAGATCCTCTTTTCATCCCCTTTCCTGGCCGGGAGATCATGTCCTCTGTGACAAACCAGCTGTGGCTGGTACCACACAGCATCAGCCTTACCACAGGGACTGCCAGGGGGAAGGAGGGAGAAGGGAAACAGCAAGTGGACAGAGCACTTTGGGGAGCAAACAGCTCAGGCCTGGAGGTTGGACAGCACAGCCTCAACCACTGGAGCTGAACCCCAAAACAGAGCTCAGCCCTTTGCTTCCCTTGCTGAGGAGTCAGATGAGCAAGACAGAAGAAGCAGCACTAGATAATAACAAGGGATGCTGGCATGGATTGGTTATAAAACTCTCTGTCTTCACTTCATTGCCTTCAGTAAAGCTTGGTAACTATTTCTGGGACAGGCAACTCCTTGTCTGGTTTTAATTACCTGGGCAAATTTTCCTAAGGATTATATTGACCTCAAATATGCCAAGGTTTATTGAGGCTGTGTTCCTGAGGCTTTTCCCATTAGGTGCTAATGGATCCTGGCTAATAGTCAGGCTGGATTGACCACCAGCAGGTGCCCTGGCCAGCTCCAGGGTACCACAAGTACCTGGGGAGGGAACTGGGGAGAGTAACACCACAGCCAAACACCAAAATCACCATGGCTCTGATCCAAAGAGATCAGGGAACGAGCTTGAGCAATTGCATTCCTGACTATCTACTTCTCTGGGCATGATTAACTCCAAGTTGGGGCTGTATTTCATAGTATCATAGTGTGTGAAGGGGTTGGAATGGAGCTTAGACATCATCCAGCCCCAACCCCCTGCCCTGGGCAGGGACACCTCCCACCAGAGCAGGTTGCTCAAGGCTTTAGCCAACCTGGAATGAACACTGCCAGGGTTGGGGCAGCCACAGCCTCCCTGGGCAACCTGGGCCCGTGTCTCACCACCCTGCTGATGGCCAGCACTGCTGTCAGCACCCAAAGGCTCTGGCCACGAACTCCCTGAACCTCTAAAGTCTGTACTGAGCTCAGAGGGGACCACAGAGGCAGAGACTTCCCTGCCTGCAGATGCCATTTCCGTTAGTGCTCAAGAAGGGGCTGGTTTTAGCAGAGGTTTGTGGTCTTTGCCACATGCAAAACTCCATATTCATTTTCACTCTCTCATGCTCAACAGAGAGGTGAAACTTTCCCTCCAGGGATCTCTCCTCCCCTGGCACTGACACAGCCCTGCCAGGGTGCACAAATAAATGCTTCTGATGTGTCACCTGTGAGGGGAACCCTCAGGAATGACCATCACAAGGAGTGCCTAAGGGAATTTGGCCTCAGATCCCTGGAGATAAAGTGCTCTGGGGCTCCTGGGGTGGCTCTCAACCTCTATTTCCCTCTCAGCATACCTGGAGAGCTTCCCACATCCCCCAAGCTCAGTAAGAGATGGGTCCTGTCTGGCACTGGGATGTGCTGCCCAAGTCAGAATCCTCTCCATAACATCACCCACACAAACAGCAGCGTGGCTTTGTCCTTTAATCACACCCCAAGGGGTGATGCAGGAACAGTGCTGTGCTGGATGGTGGACACTTGCTGCCCACAGGTTCACAGTGAGGATAATAAGAGCACAAGAGATGTCCATGCATGGGCAGACCTGAGTCAACATGCTGAGAGGTTGGGGGTTCCTCCAGCACCCCATCAGCCTCCACTGTTCCCTCTCCCCTTCACACAGCAGCCTGAAGGCCAGACAAGTCTCAAGGTCCCCAAGTCCTGTGGGTCACGGTGTGGAGGGCAGTGCCTTGGCTCTGTGGGAACTCCCAGAGCCTGGAGCTGTGCAAAGGCTTCAGTGCAGCTGAAGAAATCTCCTGAGAAATCCCTGGAGGCAGTTGTGCAGGCAAAGACAGGTCTGTCTTCAGGCTACAAGTTGCTGCCACCACGGCTGATAAAGCTTGGAGCCAGCCTCGGTCAGCAGGGATGAGTCTGGGAAGGTGCAGTGCTGTGAGCCCATCACAGGTGTGGAGCCACAGAGCAGAGTGTGCAACGGCCATGCTGAGCAGTGCTGTGGTCTGGGGGCACTGATGGGCTGGACATGGTGGCTTGAGTCAAGGTGCTGTGTGGGAGAGCCTGTCCAGAGGCTCTGGAGCCATCAGAACGCCTGACGCAGCCTCCTCTGCTCCTCCTGGCGTGAGTTCTGTGGGAATAGCATGGTGACACACATCCACCCACCCCACCACTCCACCCTCACCCCATGGGCATTTTGGAGGGGTCTTTCTGCCTGGTTTCTGTGGCCACAGCCCCACAGGAGCCAGGTGGATATTAGGACAGGCAGAGCAGGAGGGTGGCAGGACGCAGCACTGCCCTGAGCACCTTGCAAAAGAGGATTTACCTGTATGAGCTCTATACTGTTGGCAGCAGCCACCAGCCAGGAGACAGGTCCCTTTGGTTCTACCTCAACGTGACAGGGTCCAGGGGAGCCACTGGGAGAGGGCTGGGAGGGTGTGGAGGAGCCTGAGGCAGGGTCAGTGTCCTCCAAGAACAGCAGAGGGGAGAGCCCGATCTGAAAGAGCAGAAGAGGGATGGACATATAGCTGGTGCTGCATGGCCAACCAAGCCTGGGGGCAAGACACCCATCTCACAGCACCCCAGGGTTTCCCAGCCACGTTGGGTCCCCAAAACCTACCGAGTGGTAGAACTCATCAGCAGCAGGGTCAATGACCAGCAGCGTCACCTGGTCCTCACGGGCACGGATCCTGTGCACCGTCTGGTCGTGGTCCAGCCCCTCGATGCTCTCACCATTCACAGCCAGGACACGGTCCCCTTCCTTCATCCCTGCCTGCTCAGCTGGCAGCCCCACATCCACCTCCCACAGGAACTGGCCTGCCATGGTGGGGAGATGCTCGTGAGCCCCCCGTGCAGGAGGGGACACGGTCCCGCTGCGGGCACAGGGCTGGCAGCTATTCCCAACCCTGGGGCACACCTTGCTCAGGTTCAGACTGCCCTTTTCATCCCCCTCACCTATTCCCCCAGATCTGCAGTCATCCTCCTTGAGCAGAAAGCCGTAGCCAGCTGGACCCTTCACCATGTGCAGCTCACGGACCTTGAAGGGCAGTCGGGAGGTGTCTGCCAAGGCAGCTGTGACCCGCAGGCCCCGCAGGCGATAAAACTCCTCCACAGCACTGGTTGCCACCAGCAGAGTCACCTTGTTGCCACTCTGCTTAAGCTGGATGGGGAACAGAGGGTGCTCAGTGATGCTGTCAGCCCCAGTCCCTCACCCAGCCATGCCAGGAGCAGCACCTTCTTGGTGAGCTGTGTATGGGAGTAGTTCTTCACGCTGGCCCCGTTCAGCTCCAGGAGCCAAGAGCCTGGTGGCACTCCTGCTCTGTCTGCTGCTCCGTCCTGCCTCACTGACAGCTGGAAGGTGCCCTTTGTGCCTGCAGGGAGGAGAATTACAGTATCACGGAATCATCAGGGTTAGAAGAGACCTCTAAGATCATCACATCCAACCATGAACCTGTCACTGCTCTAACCCCTAAACCATATCCTCCAGCGCCAGATCTAGACACGTCAAACATTTTCAGAGGTGGTGACTCCACCACCTCCCTGGGCAATATTCCAGTGCCTGATCCCCCTCACAGGGAAAAAGAAGGGGAAGTCTGGATGCTACTTCAGGGGGTCTGTGGTGCTTTACCTTCTGGACACGACACACTGAAGCCAAAGCCACTTTTGTCCCTGGTGACATGGCAGAGGCGTGGGCGGATGTCAGTTGGCAGCATCTGGGACAGGTCCCTGCCCAGAGCTTTGGCAGCTTCGTAGGAGTCACCATCCAGCACTGCTAGCAGGACCTCATTCCCACTGGCCTTGATCTTCTGCACCACCTGGAAGAACCCAGGCTGTGAGCCCTGGGCAGACACACCTCCAGGGGGGTGGGATCAATGCCCCAGGGGCAGCATAGCCCCCAGAGTCCCAGGGTGCTCCCAGCTTACCAACTGGTGGTCCATGTGGTCCACAAAGTGGCCATTGACCTGGAGGAGACGGTCCCCATCCTGCAGCCCCCTGCGCTGGGCCACCCCTCCCAGCTCGATCTGCCGGATGATGTGCCCCTGGCAGCTCAGCTCCTCGTGCAGGCAGAAGCCAAAGGTCTCTGTGCTCTCCTTGGTCAGGAGGTAGAAACGAGGCTCCCCCTCACCCTCACCATCTGTATGGGGGTACAGCCCATGAGCAGAGCCCTGCAGGGAGCCTAACACAAGTTCTCTACCCCATCCTGGCTGGGCTCTCCCCACTCCCACCGTGGGTTCACCTCCCACAGCTCCCTGGCATGGGAGAGCTCAGCACCCCAGCAATGCCCAGGTGCCACACACAAGCTCATGCTGACGTGGGGATGCCCTGGGAGATGAGAGTATCATTTACCAGTGTCCTCAGCCAGGATCAGGGCAGGGTTGTCGATCCCATCTTTGGGGTTAAACTCAAATTTTCTGCAATGACAAAGGGCAGGAGAGGCCACATCAGTGCAGCAGCATGACCTTCCCCTGCCTTGGGGAGCCTGTGCCTCCCAGAAACAGCCAGCTGGGGCCACAGCTCCTGTGCCTCCTCTTCCGGGGGAAAGCCAGGAGGGAATCTCCTCTTAGATCATCACCCACATCTCTCCTGAGCTAACAGCTCCTGGGACAGGCAGTTGGGATTTCAGCTGTTACCCACCCCACCTCAGCTGAGCCCAGTTGTGGGACCACGAGCCCCAGAGAAGCCCCGGAGAAGGGGAGCTCAGAACTTACATGATGGATGTCTTGTCCCCCTCGAGCCCTGCAGAGGGAGAGCAGAGGTCAGCGCAGGAGGTGGTGGGCTGGGAGCAGACCCCATGCTGTCGAGCACTCAGGGCTTGTCCATTCACAGACTGAGCATGCCATGCCAGGGGAGGGGGTTCCCCAAGCCCACACAGCCCCCCAAGCCCCTCTGTCCCCTGGTACAACTTGGTCCCTTGGTCCCACCAGCAGTTCTCTTACATTCCCAGGCAGCAGGACACCTGCTGCTCAGGTCCAAGGGGCACTCACTGCCCAGCCCAGGGAGGTCCTATGACACTGGGGGCAAAGCAGTGCCAGGTTGTGGTGGCATGCAGCTGGAGCTTTGTCCTGAGGGTTTACAGGGCTCTTGAGTGAGGGATGAGAAGGGTGACCAAGACTCCCGAGAGCTGGTTGGAGCCAGGACATAGAGACAGAGCCTCCCCTGGCACACCTCCCTATAAAACCCCTCCCCACCTCTCCCAGTGCAGGGAAACCCAAACCCAAGGAGAGGGGATTCCTCCCCAGCATCCCCACAACATCCATCTGCATTCTCCTGCGTGCCTCTAGCTCCTTTCCACGGCCTGCCTGGGCTCTGACATTGTCTTGCTCCATGTGGAAGCAGGGCCTGGAGAGGGTCCTGTGGGGAAGGGTCTCGGCAGGATGCAGCCCCATTGCCCCGGCACATACCTTTTGTTTGCTTCATGGCTGCAGGGAATGCGAGAGGGAGCAAGGTACAGGGTGAAGTGGCAGGGAGACAGGTCCACGCCTCTCCCAAGACGCCCCAGGTTTAATGGTTAAACAGCCCTGGTGTCTCCCCTGCCCTCCCAGCCCCAGGGCACTGCCAGCCTGAGCTGGGAGCAGGGACCAGCACCCTGGGGCACCCAGATCCTGGTGTCCCAGCCTTCCAGAGGGACACATGGGGGGAAGACCAACTGGTTTGGCATGGGATGGAGAAGGGGCAGAGCCCTCCAGCTGCTGGAGGGATGGATGTGCCAGTGGCTCCACGTTCCTCCCCGGGAAGGGCCCGAAGAGGAGATTGAATCTTGGCACTAGTGTGCTTGAGTGGAAACAAAGTGGGACACTTTAATGCTACTAAAGGATTCACAAACAAGCCTAAGTCCTGCCCTCTGCCACTGCTGTGGTTGGGGTGCAGGGACTGGGTCAGCACAGGCCCAGAAGGACAAGTCCCATTCGCTCCTGGCCTGGTCTCTGTACCATTCCCACACTTGAGCCTTGCCTGCAGCCGAGGGCTGAGCCCCACGTACCCGGCACCTTCGACAGCACCCATCCACTCAGCATCTCCATGGGGACAAAGGGGCAGGGGATGTGCTGCTGGGGCACACTCCTCTGCTCCCTCCCTGGCTGATGGATGGGCAGCAGCTTAGAGGGTCCCTTCCTGCTGCTTCGCCAGCATCTTCTTGACCTCACTCTCGACTCGCAGGAACTTGGCTTTCCTCCAGGGATTTGCAGTCTGTCTGCGGCTGCTCTCCAGGTCCTGCAGGAGGAGAGCGAGGTGCTGCCGAACCCTGTCACGGTCCCAGAAGGGCAGATTCCTCTGCACCACGTTCAGGATGTGGGACCAGTAATCGGAGACGTCGGTGCCTGCTGTAAGGAAAACCAGAGCCCGGACACCGTCCCGGTCCATGCGCAGGCTGTGGAGAGCACGTTTGCCATCCTCACTGATGTCGTTGAGGTACAGGCTGGAAAAGGAGCAGGAGACACGGTGAGGGGAAGGACACAGAGGCAGACAGGAGAGGGACACAGAGGCAGAGAGGAGAGGGACACAGAGGCAGACAGCACAGGGACACAGAGGAGGAGGAAGCACCAGCAAGAGGGAAGGGGTGTGTCAGAGTGAACTCACTGCACTTTGTCCAGCTTCTCGTGCTTTTTGGCCACCTCCACCACACGCAGAGCTGCTGTGTCTGTCAGGGCGTTGTAGCCCAGGTTGAGCTCCTGGAGGTGCTGGTTCTGAGGCAGGTGCTGAGCGATGAGCTCGGCGCCGCGGTCGCCCAGCGCGGTGTGCAGCAGGGACAGAGACGTCAGCGAGCGGTTCCCTGCCAGCGCCTCGGCCAGGAACTGAGCCCCCTCCTCACCCAGGGGGTTATTCCCCAGCCTGTGGACACAGGGAATGCCCAGGCTGGGCAGGGTGCCCAGGGCAGCAGTGCCATGCAGGGGCAGGGGCAGTACTCACCGCAGGTTGCTCACCACACACTTGTCATGCAAGAGCAGGTCACGGATCTCCTGGCAGGCGTCGGAGCTCAGGCTGTTGAGCTGCAAACTGACAGCACAGAGCAAGGCACAGGGATGGCAGGGCCAAAACGGCTGCTCCCTGTGAGGCTGGCAACCCTGCTCACTCCATCCTCCCTGCGCCTCCCCATCACCATCCTAGCCAGGCTCCCCAAACCAGGTCACGCCAAGGTTTCCTCTCCCAGAGGGAACACACTGATTCCGCACAGGAGCATCAGCCAGCGGAGCCCGTGCCAGCAGCAGCAGGGTAGGGGAAGGGGCTGCGGGGTCTGCAAGGGATGGGTGGAGGTCTGAGGAGGGATCAGGACTCCGCCAAGCCCTCCTGAGCATCTGGAGGCAGGAAGTGCGGCACAGCCCAGCTGCACAGCCCGGTCCCAACGCTGCTGAGCACTTCTCGCCACCACCTGGGCGACAGCAAGACCTGCAGCTCCACCAATGTTCTGGAACAGAGCCCACCTGCCCCAGCTCACACACATCGCACCTTTGGGATGACCAGCTCCTCCCAGAGCCTGTTATACAGGGATGCTGGGTGGCTCCAGGGAGCTCAAAGACAGGTCTGCCAGGGCAGCTGGCAGCCCAGGCTGTGCCAGCTGCAGGGAGCTGCCCAAATATTCCTCTGGGAGGGTGTGCCGGGACTGCAAATCCCGGCATGCAGTGCCCTAGAAATGCTGCTCCAGGAGCGCTGCATGTTGGAAGCTGTAGTTCCTCAGGTCTGTGCTGAGAATAAACAAGGGCAGACATGCCCTTCCCTCCCTTCTCCATGCCTGTGCTCCCAGTGCATCCCTGTGATGGGCAAGAGGTGAGGGAGAGCCCCAGTTTTTGAGGGCAGGAGAAGGTGGTACTCACTGAAGAGATTTGCATCGCAGCAGGACAGGGAAGAGGGTCCTCAAGCTGGTGGCATCAAGGTGGCAGGAGGTCAGGTTCAGCTCCTCCACCTCGTGAGACGTGGTGCTCATGACAGATGCCAGGACAGAGCACTTGAGGGGGGTCATCTTGACGGAGGAGAGGTTGACGGTGCGGAGGGAGCGGATGGCCTCGGCCGTGAAGCGCTCGTTCTGGAACTCGTGCAGGAAGAAGAGGTAGTCCATCAGCTCCGAGGGGGGCAGGCCCTTCCTGCTCTTCCTGATGACTGTCTTCTTCATGGCCTTGGCGATCTCAAAGGCCGCCAGGTTCTTGATAGAGCAGCCCAGCTGCTCCAGGATGGCGCGGTTACGGCGGGACAGGATCCCACCCATGAAGATGGGGAAGAGCTCAAAGACCTCATCATCAGGGGTCTCATCAGGGTGGGGCATGGGGCCCTCCACGCCGAGGATGCTGGAGTTGATCTGGTCCAAGACATCATCGTTGTAGTAGTCCTCCTCTTTGAAGAGCTCCTCTGCCATGGTGTGGGCAATAGCATCCTTGTCCTTGCCGCTCAGCCGGGAGAAGTAGCGAGGGAAGATCTTGAGGAGGTTGAAGAGCACTGGCAGGAAGCGCCAGGGCAGCACCTTGGAGACAATATTGACAACCACAGCCACATCTTCACTCACTTTCCCAAAGATCTCTGACAGCTCCTTACCCACTCTCTGTGCCAAGGTCTTCTTCTCACCCAGCACCACGTACAGGGCCGCCAGGTACTCCTGCATGGCAGGGATGGTGAAGACAAAGGTGTGCTCTTTGCCTGGCTGCACACACGGACTGAGGAAGAAGCGGAAGACGTCGCTACGGAAGACCTCCAGGAGGTTGAGCTCGCTTTCGGTCTTCATCTCCACCTCAAAGCACTGCTGCAGGTCTTCCTCTGAGAAGCAGGTCTTGCGGGACATCACCCCTTCGTAGGCCAGCTTGCCCACCGTCTTGGCCACGTACTTCATCATGGAGATGTTGGAAGGGTCAGTGCTGTCCAGCACCTCCCCGCTGAAGTTGAGCCTCAGGAAGCTGGTGTAGATACCGGTGAGGGTCTGGCTGGGAGGCACTGCCCTGGTGAAGTAGAGGAAGTGCAGCATGGTGCACACCAGCCAGCAGTAAGAGGGCAAGAAGCAGGCAGTGGTTATTTGGTTGTGGCGCTCCAGGTTCCTCGACAACATCTCCACCAGGTTTTCCTGCTCGGCTGAGCTGCGATCCCTCCTGCCCTCTCCACTGCAGCCAGGCTGGCTGAGGCGCATCTGGAAGTACAACTTCTGCAGGTTGGTGTCGGAGAAGCCGCAGATCTCGGCGTAGCGACCCACGTACTTGCCGGGGACGCGGCGCACGGCCGACGGGCGCGTGGTGACGATGATGCTGGCCTGGAACCACAGGGCTGAGTGAGGCTGGAGGTGCTCAGCAGGGTCCCAGGTGTGTAACCCACACAGAGATGCACAAGGATCACCCCACCCAGGGCATGGGGTTCAACAAGCTGCTGCTCAAAGGGTACTGGATGAAATCTGAGCCAGGCAGAGGGGACAGAAAGACTTTCCCCATCCCCTGCTAGACATATATTCCTTCCCAGGGAAGGCCTGGAAGAGATCAATATTGCTGTCTGGAGGACAGCAGCCCATCAGACTGTCCTCATTATCCTACCAGGCCTCACCAAAGCTCCCACAGAGATCACCCAGTACCAGTGACATGAACCCACCTTGGCAAGTCCCTCCAGGCACAGGGGCTGCCTGTTCACCCCAGCCAAGCTGGACTACAGGTAATTATCACAACAGCTCTTTGTGTGTTGCCTCAGGACTCGCCCCCAACCTTCCTCCAGCAGCTGGAGGGACACACTGACCTCAGGCAGGAGGTATTTTCGAATCAGGTTGACCACGATGGTGGAGGGAGGCACAGGTTCATTGGGGTCACAGCACAGCTCTGTGCCAGCCAGGCGGAAGTCCAAGTTGAGACGCTCCAAACCATTGAGGATGAAGAGCACCTTGAGGTTGGAAGTTCCCAGCAGCGGCACCACGTCCCGGAGGTGCTGGTACTTCTTGGTTATGAGGCGCCGCAGGGAGATGGGGGCATGGCTGTGGGACAGGTCCTCACAGGAGAAGGGGATGACCAGCTCAAAGCGAGGCAGGCGACCGTGGCACCAGTCCACCACCATCTTCTTGATGAGGGTGCTCTTCCCCGTGCCCACGGTGCCGTACAGCACCACGTTCTGCACCTGCCGCCCACAGGCATCCGCGTCAAAGAGGTTGTGGAGGCTGATGACCTGTCTGCAGGACTGCTGGAGCTGGTTCTGGATGGTGAGCTCTGGTGAAGGCTTCAGAATCTCCTCCAGGGAGCTCTCACGGATCACTGGGTCCACGTGGACGGCATCCAGCGAGAAGGAAGGGCCGAACTGCCTCTCCTCATTGGGCTGGTGGCTGAACCATGCAGACAGGCTCTTCTGGTGTTTCTTAATAGCACCTGGGAGGAGGAAGGTGCTTAACAGGACTAGGGTTTCTCCCTAGCAGGGCACTGGGGAAGTTGCCAGCCTCAAGCCACTGCAGCGAGGTGGCTGCAGAGAGGGGACAGCTCCCAGTTCCTGTGAATCCTCACACTGTCCAGGAGAGCAGCTACCCCCACCCTGCTGTGCAGGACCCTCCATCCAGTGCAGGAAGCTTACCAGAAGAGTCCACATTCCTCAGCTGGGCCAGAGCACGGCGAGAGGAGCTGGGCTGGACAGAGTGCTCGCCGGACCCTCCCTGGTTCTGGACGTAGCCCCTGCAAGAGGAGAGGAGAGTGTCTCAGTAAGGGCAGGGGGAAGCAGCTCCAAGCCCTGCCTGGGGCAGATCACAAGCAAGTGCTGTGGGAAGTGCTGAGTGAAGCCAGCTCACCCCTTCCTATCCCCACAGCAAGGCAGAGTGCAGGGCTGGAGCAAGGGCACAGCTGGGGACGGCAGGCATGGGGGCAAACCACGAGCTGTGCATCCCCAGCAAACCTGTGGCGAGGCAGAGGAGCTGGGATGAACTCAAGGCAGGCAGGGAGCTGGGTCTGGCTGCTTTTCTAGGTGGAAGCAAAGCAGTGTCTCTACCCAGAGCCCCACTGGTCCCAAGGCAGCCACCACAGCCACCCAGGTCCAACCACAACTGCCCAGGTCCCACCACGGCCACCCAGATCCCATGGCAAACAGCCACAGGGCAGAATGGGCCATGCCCCAGCTGTGTGGCACTGACCTGGGCAGGGAAATGCTGTTTGTGCAAAGGATCTTCCTGAGGAAGCAGCTACCTGCAGCACCTGGGGGAGGAAGAAGAGCACACACAGTCAGGGATGGATATTTCCAGCTCTCCCAACCCACTGGCTTCACACCTTGCTGGGGTGATCCAGCACAGGCTCCCCTGGGAGGGGATGTCCACCAGGGGCAGCTAGGACAGGGGCAAGGTCACAGTCCCACAGTGCCAGCTCACCTGGCCCTGCAGCAGCACATCCATACACACTCTCCTGCCAGGGATCGAGACAGCTGTGTCCAGCTGCCCCAGGACAGGCAGCCCTGGCACTGCATGGCCCGTGACATCCTCCACCTGAAAGAGAGGTGGACAAGGAGCTCAGCAGCTGTCCCACATGGGCAGGTGGGGCAGAGCAGGACGGGGCTGTGGGGAGGAGGTGAGCAGTGCCCTGCCCAGCCTTACCTGCCCCAATATGGTCCAGTCTGGCAGAACTGGCTGTGCTGGTGTTGACTCAGGCTCCCGCCCCAGCTCAGCAGGGTGATCCTTCAGCAGCACAGGTTGCACTCACAGCCTCCAACATCCCG